TCATTCTATTTCAAGGCAACCTAAGTGGAGAGTGCAAATATAATGCACGATAATGAGGTGCCCAATTTTGGAAAGTGGCTTTTAAAATGCTGCAGCAGAATACTATCTAGAGTCTCTTAGGAAAAAGCAAAATCTCATCAGGGACCTTTTTAAGCATCATTTTCTCCTGTTTTAAATGATCTCACATGAACTGGCTGTTAGTCGGCTTGGCATAACATTCTATCACTCATTATTTTTGACCGCTTGCACAAGGAACAAAAGGCCCATTATTAGTGATTTGCCAATTGTTGTGAGACTTAATCCAGGTACTTACAGAGCTCTTTGCCTTTTGCTTATTTTGTTGTATGAAGTTGTATGATTTAAGGGAATTCACAGCCCCCTCAAGCTCAACTCAGACACTCTCTTCTCTAGTGATTAGTTTGGAAGATGGCGATTACTCCAAACACCAGGCCTCTGAGCATAAAGAAGAAGCCTTTTCTCCTCATGAAGGAGATTCTGGATTTGGGGTAAAAAAGGCTTTTCCCTTTATTTGTGTATAGATTCCTTTCTTCCATTGGGTGAAAACACAACCTTCTAAGGGTACAATGAAGAAGACTGCATTTTTAACAATGTCATTTGTAACCCCCCTGAGCACCTCACTGCCGGATGTGCTGTGGCCTATATGGTCCATGCTATGGTATTGCCTTTCAAAAGTCTCAAAATTTTCCTCTAAAGGATTGTAGACCTATCGGGCAAGTAGAATACAAGTGACATAAGAGAGAAATTTCTACATGGGTGCAGAGGAAGAAGAAATCTGGGTCACAGGACAGGCTCCATGAAAGAAATGCCATGTGCAAAGAGGATGTGTATTATTTTGACATGTGGAAATTGTAAGGGATTGTAGGATGGGGTTTATAGACGGCATAAAGGGCATGAGTAAAGTAGCAGAGGTATTCTAGTATTTCTCTAGAAGCCTAGATATCGAAAGCAACCTATTCAGAGTGTCCTAAAAGGGTTTTAGTTGATCTTCTTTATAATAATGCACACTGCTGTGGTTCATGTGATGGCAGGTTTGTGGGCTAGGAGGAACTGTTGGATGGCATCATGTTGACCTGATGAATTCTTGTAACTTATGCAATGGCTTTGATCCTAATGTAACACTCATATTTCATGGTTCATGCTAGTTGTGATTGTGCTTGATCATTTGTCTGATGTATAACAACCCTTTTGAAGCATGACTTATGATTATGCATATACATATATACATGCTGTTTATAATAAAAAGAAAAAATTGATAGCTTATATACAAAATACTTTGGGTCTGAATCAAGTCTTTTACTTTAAATCATGTTATTTTGGAGTTAAGATTTCTATATACTAGAAATATCATTTCCAAACAGATTTTAGGTAAAAAGTATTCCAGTGTAATATAATACAGGCTGAACTAAAAGAGAAAACAACATAAGAAAAACCAGAAAGTTACCCTTTTGGACTGTATTAGAGAACATTTATACGGAAATATAGTAGATATTTGGGTATCAGGATTGGATTAAATTTACAATGAAAAATAAAACACATAAAAATAAACATCAGAAAGGGACGTTTATACAAGATAAACAACATATATTGTCTTTCAGCTGTCTTTCCTCTAGGCTTGAATGTTTTGAAGACTGGCATGTAGAACAAAATGAGTTTTATGGAGAATTCAAACAACTCAGCATTTTTCAGGGTATGGTTTGAGTTTAAGTGATCTGCTTTTCTCTTTTTGGAGAGAGGAAGTGGGGGAGTAGGGGGGGAGGGAAGGAGAGACCGAGGGCATGGTTTGTCACTGTCTAATATGGAGCCTCTATTTTAGGTAGTTTCATGCCAATCCCCATTGGTTTCTTTCCAGCTCTCTGGCTTTGTGCAAGTTTCTTAAATTCCCTACAGCTCTTATTTCCTCATCTGCAAAATGGAGATAAAATGCCTGTGTGATAGGTTTGTTTTGACAGTCAAATGTAATATTGTACATAAAGTGCATACCTCTGTGTCCAGGATATATTACCCGCTCACTGTAGAAATTTTATCACATACCCTTTTTGAGCAAGGCACTTTGACTTAACGCCTCTTATTTCATCCTCATAAAAGTCTGTGAATATTATTACAACTCTCAATTTACAGATAAAAATCTTGAAACTTAAAGGACTAAAGTGGTTTTTACAAGTTTAAACACATCCAAGGGTAATAGTTAGGAGTTCAACTTAGACCTGACAGTTTCAAACCTACAAAGCGTTGTTGCATAAAATTCAGTCATTTCCTTCCTCTCCTCTTCTCTCCATTCACCATTCCTTCTCTCTGTAGTTCTACCTTCTCCAAGGTAGAGTCCTTGTTTTAAAAAGTTCCTAATGATAACTGGATGGGCTGAAACAATATTTTCATTCCAGTAAATTGAAGGAAATATAACATCATTGTATCTCCAAACGCCATCAATTCCCTTCAAAAATATATCCCATTCTCTATTTTTTATACTCTTGTAATGCATATTAGTTGTAGAGACATTAGGAAATGTCAATAAACATAATTTGCCTGAATACTCAATATTCAAAGACAATCAGTCATAGGTACATTTTAGTGTATGTCTTCAATTCATACCTATCCATGTATTATTTTTCCCCCTTGAGCAGTATCATACTACAATTCAGTTTATAATAGGCTATTTTTAGTTAATTATCATTCAAAAATACCATTTCAAATTGGTAAATGTACATCTACATAATCATTTCTACTAACTACATAGCATCCCATTGTATAAAAGTACCTAAATAAAATAACCCTTATTATTGGATACTTACATTTTTTCCACTTGTTTTACTTTTATAAATTATAGACTCTGGCATATACATCTTTGTGTCCTGGGCCAATGATATCCTTAGGATAATTCCCTAGAAGTGGAGCCTGTGGATTGGTGTTTAACGTATATGGCCAAATTCCCTCCCTTAAAGAAAGGACCAATTTATTTTCCCTCCAGCAATGTATGAGAATGCCCATTTCTACACGCCCACACTAATGGTTATCGTGCCTTTTAATCTTTGAGAACACCATTAGGCCAAAAAAAGTGACTTTATTGCTTTTCTTTGCATTCCTGTGTCTATCCATTCTACATAATAATCACATTTCTAGGACTATTATCTAAACAAAATGTAAACTTCACTAGGTCAAAGACAAAGTCTCCACATACTTAAATGTTTATATCCTCCATCCTTCTGAAATAGAATAAATCCCCAAAGAGGCAGTCGAGACACTGCTTGGCAGACAACCATGGGTTAACAGTATATAACCTTATTAAGAACATCCTTGAATTTATTTTAAACCTCAAGCTCATTGTTCTCAGAACTCATTTACTAAGATAACCTTGTCCTGAGGATGACAAACACTCTGCTAGGTAGGATCTCAAAGGAGAGGAAAGGAGAAGGTTATGGGAGCTAAGCCTTGGCATCACCTCACAGTAGTATCTAGGTGGTACTTCAGTCTCTTTCAGTCTTTGTCCCTCTGTGGTCAGTGTCCGAGTGGCCAGGGTATAATGCCAGTGTCTCCTCAGGCATCAGTGCAGTGGGAAAAAGGAAAAACTATGCAAAATATACTTGATAGGTTTGTTTTGGGGAATATTGAACAAAATTTATAGTCTGACCCTTCATGAATGTGTGTACCCATTCAAAAAAATGAAAAAAACTCCCTAAACAATATACAGCTACTGCTTTGCTTAGAACAAAATTCTTACCATATTTTCCCACAAATAAAAGCACTGGAATAGTATTGTCTTTCCATATACTCCAGATTAGTTTGCCAAATGATTATGCTCTGCAGTCTGGCTTACACCATTTACACACACAGACACACACAGACACACACACACACACACACACTCACACATCTCACTAGGTGCCAAAAAATAATGGTGACCAGGTACCGCTAAAAGGATAATGTCTTTGTAAATCCTTAACCAATTATCCTCAATTTGGAAACTGAGCAAGTCCAAGCTATCTTTCTGCACATGATTTTCCACTTAATTTTACCCTTCCTCTGTATTATTTACAATCATATAATTTCAAATTTCATGCCAAAAATTAATTTATACTTGAATCAGCAGTACTTTATATATTAGGAGACACATAATACTGTTTAAAGAGACTTCCTTAAAATAGGAAGTTTCATTTAGCTAAATGTAAGGAAACCGAGATAGTCAACTCAAATCTGTAATTAAAGACTGGGATCTCACATTATCTAAGAGTAGTGTTCCTTGACTAACCCAGTCACATTTTAATGACTGGACAAACCAGATTCAAGAGAAAGGTGCTGCTCTGTTATTAAAAGAAAACTTAGTGATTGCGTTGCCATTGGGAACATCACAGAATCCATAATAAAGTTTACTTTATGCAAGGATCACAGGGTACTCGATCTTAGCGTTCCGTGGTGCTTCTCATAGTTTAAAGGAGGAAAGCAAAGTGAAATTCAGCCAGCAACCTTTGGCACCACATCCTGGGAATGAGATAGCTTAAGTTTTTGTGAATTACCCAAAAAGAATCAGAATGAGTGTGATGATAGATGTTGGTGATTTGTTTTTGTTTTTAATGTATATAAAAAGTTACCTCTTCCAGATGCCCCCTATGTGAATGTTCAAAATGAACTGGAAGAACTCTACAATATGTTCACTGTAAAGGAGTCAAGAATTATAGAACACTTAGGATTTATGAAGGAACAAAATACCATAAAGCTGCAGAGTGATGCCCCAGATTCATTAAAGAATCTGAGAAAGGAATGGAGGGAATAGTAAGAGCTCACACTTACACGGTGTTAATTATGTGCCAGATACTGTCTTTAGTGCTTTATATATATTAATTCTTTCAACCCTGCAAACAGCTGCATGAGGTAGTTATTTTATCTATCCAAGAGACCATTAAGACACAGAGAGGTTAAGTATCTTGCCAAAGGTCACACAGCTGGTAAATGGCAGAAGTGTAACATGAATTTTCTTTTGATTTAAGATGGTGCATCTTGATGGCCAGGTGAAAATGGAGCACTGCTAAGCAAGCCCCAAGGAAATGTACAACCCTCCACAGGAAGTTTTATTATCCGCTTCTGAGGAAATGGTGAGTTTGCAGATATCAGCACATTTAAATGCATTCTTAACAACTAATATGTCAGCTTAACCTTTGGGGTAGAAACTGCACTGGTTTCTAAGGTCTCAGTCTAAATGTCTGTGGAACCTGGGTTAAAACATGTCATGCTCTGGAGCTCAGTTTTTTTCTATCCAAACAAAAGGGATGGATGACGTGCAAAAAAGAGCCTCTACAATTGTTTTGAGTCAAGCACATAGGCACGTTGTTGTGGTCTGGTGGGGAAATCGTGCTGTCTATAAAGACCACACAGAAGACACAGGATAGTGTTCTCTGCCATGAAGTGGATTCAGTGAAAGAGCTTCATCGTATTCTGAGATGCTTCAGCGTCTTTGCCTTCTCTAAATTCTTCACCTATGAAACAAGCTAGAGCAGAAAGGAAAGTGGCAACTGTAGGTTCAGGACAGAGTGGAGCAAACCCGTCTTGTTTGTCTTGGGGATAAGCTTCAGTGGTGAGGAGAGGGTATTGATACTGACAACAGACACATACTCTTATCTGAAATTCAGATCAAATGATTCCACCCTTCAGGGCATTCTCCAACAATGGTCTTTCCAGCAGCATGAATCTGCGAACAGAACCCACCAGTTACTTTCAATCAGCCGGCTTTGCTGGTATTGCTGCTCCCATCATAGATTTACAAAGCCATTCTTGATGAAGACAATAAAAGCCTCCTTTCCCTGGTGTTGTGTTCCGCTCTGACACTTTATCAAAGCACACAGACAGAGGGTTGTTCTTAACCATATGTATAAAATGGAGCAAGCTCACAAATCATGCTTTGATATTGCACTGTGGAAACACCAAGGTTAAAAGGTAAATCTGTGTTGTAACCGTATTGATTAATTGATGGAAGAAAGGTCAGGCTAATCTTTATCTTGCTTGGAAGACTCTAGTTCTACATGACACATTTATTGAAATGGTTCCTGTGTAAAAAGATTTAAAGAAAAAAAAGGGGAGCCTTAATGCAAAAAAAGCGAGGGAAATCTCATCAAACGACCACTCAAAAAAGGTTAGTGAACGGAGCCCTAATGCAAAGACAATGGGGAAATCTCATCAAACGATCACTCAGAAAGTGAAAAGCACTAAAGTGGGGACTGGAAGGTGGAAGCTATTGGACTTCCATGTATTTTGAATAGGCTTCCTTGGAAATACCTTCACCAGTGAAGCAATTGTAGGAGGAGCAAAGGCAGTAGCTTTAGATACCAGCTTTAGCCCTGCCCCAATAAGACCAGAAAAGAGAATCCTCTCTTTTCAACAAGACTGTTGAAGCAAAAGACCTAACCTCTTGCACCTTCAGGCCCTGCACAGGTTAAAAACTGCCGCACAGTGTTTCTCACGAGATGGTTTCCATATCCCCAGGGCGTGGTGGGAAGAGGAGGAGGGAGTTACCTCCCCACACTTGGAGATGCACAGATAGCTAAGAACAGCTTGCCCAAACCTACTTCTGGCCCAAGAGAGATAATGAAGTATAAGAGCTAAGATTCAGAATTCTGAGAAAACAGGAAAATCAAAATGAGGAAGGACTAGTGGCTAAATCTGTGTAAGTGTGAATGGAGGAGAAAAAACCTGAGGAGCACAAGGACAGGATGCTGATCCTGAATTACAGCACTGTTGAATGAAAGAAGGGCCTGGGCCAAGGGTGGGGGTGGGTGGGGAGGGGGCGGAAAGGGGAGTGAGTGTGGGAAGTTTTTTCTCATTATGCTCAAACCTGAAAAGACCTTCAGTTAGTGTCTGGACCTGAAGAGGCCAACCTATGATGATGTAGTCTCCAGCAAACCCAGACACCTCAGAGGCTCACTATAACATGTTTATCTCTGGCTCATGCGAAGTCCATGCCCCTGGGTAATACTCTTGCATCTTAAAGCTACGGCATTTGGAACATGCTGACCTACCGTAGCAATGAGGAGATGCCTGGAGGATCACATAAATTTTTTTCCAATTGTATTGAAAAATAATTGACATACCTCACTAGATAAGCTGAAGGCATACAGCATGATGGTTTGATTTACATGTATTGTGAGATGATGACCACAGTTAGGTTCAGCTAATATCCATCTTCACATGAGATATTTTAAAAGGATGTATCTGAAAGTAGATTTCATCATCTTTCTTATATCCTTCGTCTGGGTATAGTCACAAAAGCCTCAACCAACTGCAAGGAGGCTGGGAAATATGCCATAAAAGGCTTCTTGTCTTAGGTTTACCTTAGAACACTAGGGATTTAGATTTTCATAAAGAAAAATTTCCAAAGACTGCATCGTTACATATTGAAAGGAGCAATCATGGGATGTTTAGAGAACTTTATTGCTGTTCTCTCTGATACTCAGAGTAGGAGATTAGACTCATTTTTCTGCAAGTTCTGCTCTTTATATATTTGTATGCCTCTGTAATTATATAGGCTTTTTATTTGCAAGGGAAAACATGAAACATGAGCTACATATTTGGAATTATTTTCCTATCAAACTGATTTAATTATCTTTTTACTCACTGACCATGGCCACTTCCTACAAGTAGGCAGGGAAACTTTTATATTAAGAAAGCAGACACACACAAAAAAGAATGGAATCAGAAATTAAATGTATCCATTTTGCGGCCTAAGGCCAACATTATTAATAATAAACACTTAAAGACATAAATCATAATTTGGTACAAATCCATATGTGAAATAACAGATCTAACCTTAGTATTATGGTCACCGGAATTCTGGTAGGTTGTATGTGACACATTTTACATTTTTGTGTTATTTGCTTCAATATATGTTAATAGATGGTAATTATATGCTTTTCATTTGAACAGCCCTTATCCAGAAACGATTTAATATTCGCACATCTAATAGGTCGCACACGGCTATTGATCATTTGGATCAGAGTTCAATTTGAACTGCTGCTGGTTAGATTAGAAATTGTAATCATGGTAAAAGATAAATTACAAGGTCTCTGAAGATCAGTTCTGTTTTCAGATTAGATGTACTTTTAGACATGAAACATCAAATAGGGGAGGTTAGAGAAGATCTGTGGTCATGTCATTATGTGGGTTTTCTAAGAAATACATCCAGAGAGCCATGGTACACTTTTCATCATTGTATCAGGAATGTTAAATTTAGAGGGAATGACATTTTATTACAAAAAAGACAGCAAAAAAAATCCATAAATTATTTGTGAATTAGAAAAGACTGCATATTTTGCAAATATAAATTTTGATGTAATAAATGCTCTACTATTAAAGTTATACAGTTTTTAATATAGGGAGATTTGGTTTGGATTAGAAGACATCTAAATGAAGATTAATTTAGACGAAGCAGACCTCTGGTGACTTCAGTATTAAAAGGATTTTATCTTTGCTTTAAAACATTATTTTTTTGGTCTAATTATAAAAGAAATACATTCTCATTATAGAAAATTTGGAAATTCAGTAAACTCTAGTCTAGAAAACTAAGAACATTCACCATTCTATAATCCAGATGTGTTACTATTAACATTTTGAGATATCTTGTTTCAGTCTTTCTTTGAATTTTTTCATGAAATATTTCAAGTATACAGAAGTACAGAAAATGATATAAAAAACTGCACATACATCTACCATTTAGATTTAAATATGTTAGCTTTTTAAATATTTACTTCAGATCTCTCCTACTGACAAATATATATGTTATAAATATAGATATTCCACTTCTTTCTCCTCCCTTCTTTTTCCAGAATTAACTATTATTGTGATATTTCCATTTTGTAATTTTACTATGTTTCATCTGTAAACAATATGTAAATTTTTTTATGTTTAAAAAGTATTTAACTTTTATCATCATCATTATAATGGTGAACACTTATTAAGCTCTTCCTATCTTTCAGGCACTGTCCTAAAACATATTACACACATTTAATCTAGAAGGTAGGTGCTATTATTATCCTCATTTTGTAAACAAGGAAACTGAGTTACAGAGAGGTTATTTAACTTGTTCAGGGTCATACTCCAGCTCTTTCTTAGCTTGCTCTTTTCATGCAATGCTGTGTTTTTAGATTTATCCATGTTGACACATATGGCCCTAGTTCATTCATTTTAACAGCTGTATAGTATTCCATTACATGAATGTCATAGTTTATTCCTCTACTGATAGAACTTTGTAAATCCTTTATGTATCCCTTTTGCATACCTGTGAGAGTTTCTTTAGGGGAGTCATATAGAAGTTGAATTACTAGGTTATAAATATATGCATTTTAGATTCTGTATGATTATTAAAAATTCATATGTTGGTCTTATAGACATCTCATTGCTTTGCTGAACTTTGTTACCTAATGATCTGTGTTTTTCCTATACTGACAGTTCTATGTTGTAAATAGTGACGGTTTTTGCCTTCCGCTGTAATCTTATGCATTTTCTTCTTCTTCTCTTGCTGTACCGGCCAGGGCACTTAGCTCAGTGGAGGGGGGCTGCCACAGAGGCTGTACTTGTCTGTTTTCTGATGATAAAGAGAATGCCTTTAAGGGCGAGTTTGTTGCTGGTTTGCAGTAAGTACCCCTTATCAGATTTAGGAAGCTTCCTCTCTTTTTAGTTTGCTAAGAGATTGGTTGATTTTATTGAATGCTTTTCTGTACTTTTTGAGAGGGTTGTATGGTTTTTCTCTTTTAATCCATTAATGTGGAAAATTACACTGCTATAGTTTCTTTTTTTTTTTTTTAAACCAGAAGCGTTTATTGCAGAAATCTGGCCAAGGTTCCAACTAGGTGACCCCAGTTGAAGCTGGGCTAAGGCCCCCTGCCCAGGGGTGGGCAGATGAAATAGGGAAGGTCGAAGGAGCACTTCTGGGTCTGTGGCCTCAGAGCTGTGAGATGATTTGGGGGGCCAGCCTGCAGGTGAGGCCTGTGCCATTGGGCTCCACATTCAAGGACTTCACTATGCCATCCTCTATCACCAAGGAGAACCTCTTAAGCCGTTGATTCCCAGAGGGACACCAATGAATCATCTAGTAACAAACCTATCTCCTTCCCAAGGCCCCAGTGGGGTCAGCCAGGAGCTGAACCTTGCCTTCCGTGTTGTGGGCTCGTCCCCATTCTTTAGTCACGAAAACATCATTAACACTCAAACATGTAACCACCTGGATTCCCTTGGCCTTCAGAGCTCCGGCCTGCTCCACAAACCCTGGCAGGTGGGTCTTGGTACAGCTGGGGGTAAAGGCCTCAGGGACTCCAAACAGCACCTCCTTCTTGCCTTTGAACAGCTCTACCAGGTTCACCTTGTTCCCAGGCTCCCCTTCAAACACCACCACCGATGGGATGGCATCTCCCACCTTGATCGGGACCATGGCTGCAGCAGTGCTTCTGAAACCACAGACCTCACCAAATGCCCACTTTAGGCTCCCTTCCAGGCACCTTCTGGCTCCCGCTGCTGCCGCACACTCAACAGCAGTCGCCGGGGAGACCACTGGGCGCATTCCTACACTAGTACAGTTTCTAAATGTTAATGTATTAATGTCTATGTATTCCTGGAGCAATATTTAGTCTGATATATTACTTTTCATGACATTGTTGGTATTGTTTTCTAATATTCCATTTAGGATTTTTATATCTGTATTCAAAAATGAGATTTGTCTATAAGTTTGTTTTCTTGAGTTGTCTTATACATTGTTGATATTAAGGCTTTTAGCTTTATAAAATGAATTGGGAACTTTTTTTTTAGTTTGCATAATGAAAAAATTATATGTTCCTTGAAGTTGTAGTGGAACTTGCCTATAAAACTGTTAGGGTAAGGTTTTAGGGAGATAACAGTGGAAATTTTAAATTATTATTTGTTAAATAATTATAAAGCTATTAAGTTCTTCTATTTATTGTTGAGTTTACAATCATAAGTTATAGTTTTCTGGTTAATTTTCTGCTTTTTCTGAGTTTTCAGATTTATTGGCAGAAAATTTTTCATAGCATTCCCTTTTTGATTTGAAAAAGCTTTATTCCAGCTGTCATTTCCCTCCCTTTTTTATTCCAAACATTGATGTATGCTTTCTCTTTCATTCTTAATTAATCTTGCCCAAGGATTGTCTGTTTTATTATTCTTAGATATGGCAATCATCTAAGAATTTATTTGTAGGATTAAAAACCTCTTTAGATGTGGTGAGCTGAGGCTTGACTTTAGCCTCCAAAAGAGTCATAGCCTCTTTGCCTATCCACATTCCTGAGGAAATTCACAAACCCAGAGCCTCTAGACTGAAGGAGAGGCTTGATACTATAAACATCACAGTGTGGCAGATCTCCCACTTCACATGCCCTCTGCAGTATGACCTCCTCCATCAGGGGGACACTCCTCTATCAAGAAATGGAGTTTATTCTTGGCTGCCTTGAATATGGGTGGGCTCTGTGAATGCTTTAACGAATAGAATATGGTAGAAGTACCCTTCTGCCAGATCTAGGTGTACCTTTTAACTGGCTTAGCAGCTTGTTTCTGGCTTCTTGGAAGCAAGTGAAGGAGTAAGAAATGTAACTATCCTGAGACTATCATACTGTGAAAACTAAGAAATACAAAGAGAGAGGAAGACCAAAGGGCACCAAGGTGCCAGACTTGTGAATGAAAAGCCATCATGAGTGTCCAACCCAGTCACTTTTAAATGACTCCAGCCCTAGCCCTATCCCCTATCTGACTACAAAGCATGAGAGACTCTAAGCAAGAGTTACCCACTGGAGCCCATTTAATTACAGAAGTGTGAGTGATAATCATTATGTATTCTTTTAAGCTTCTTAATTTAGGGGTGTTTGTTACACAGCCATAGATACCTAGAGTGAGTAGTTACTGTGAGAATCTTCTTTTTCAGCCTCCTTCCAAAAAAAACAACCATCTTTAACAGGATAAATATGCATATAATAAAGAAAAATATACAAATGCGCAAATCATCGAGATTATTGTATATCAGCTCTGAATAATACTATTCCCAGAAGGATCAAGAATGCCACTGGGGTATGCCACTCAAAATGGAACCACTTAAAGTGGGACCATATGAACATTGGGTGATAAATGGAGTATTGATCTAAGTCCACCTCATATTGGGCCCAGTGAGTCTGAAATTATCTCCTACATATTTTCTGAGTTTCTTTTGCATGAGAAGTCAATGTGTATTGTTTAAATCTGGTAAATCAAGCAGTAGATGTAAATATATTATATAGTGCTATTAAAAGTGTATTATTTAAAGATGTAAAGAATGTAATAATTAAGATCAAAGGGAAAGAGGGCAGTTGCAAAGAAATAGAATGATAGGAATTTCTTCATCATTTAAAGCTGGAAGTAAATAATAATTAAAGAAATAGAAGACTAAGCTAGCTATATATTAGATTAAAAATAAAAGCTAGTACTCACATAGTGCTCACCTGGCTCTGTTATAAGTGCTTTGTAAAAAATTAACTCAGTTAATCTTCACAACAACTCTTTGATGTAGGTATTGTTACTTATTCTCATTTTACAGATGAGGAAACTGAGTCAGAGCAGCAAAATATAATTAGCCCAAAGTCACACAGAAAGGATACAAATAGTTATAATGGTAGCCATTACAAGAAGCCAAAACAGACAACAAATCTCAAACCAGTTTCTTGATTTCTGGATAATTCTATGCCGTAATGCTGGCAGTCAAACAGCTCCCTCTGTAGACTCCTGAGGCTGCATAGTCTCTAGTCTTACTCTTCCTTTCCTAATAATTTGAAGCCAACATCTTAGACATACTGCATGGATTACTATTCATTTCTTATGGGAGGATTTGTTTCTCTCTGTGTATTTTTGGACTACTCCATGTGGCAGGATGGTGAATTCATTAGAGATGAGGAGCTCGAGTCCCAATGTCCATTCTAGAAGAGACTGGACAAGTAACTCCTTTGGTGTGTGAGTCAGCAAAACAAAGCAATGGTGATATTAGACTATGTTGAATTTCTGGCCACACCTTCATCTCTGCCCTGTGGGGAGTTTTTCTCTTTCCTCTAAGAGTTTGAAAAAACTTTATAGTTATAGTGAAGTAAATTCTTTCATTAAAACAGTAAAAAATAATATGCTATGGTTCTAGTCCTTGGGTTGATCTTTTAAATGTGTCTCTAACTGAAATAAGAAGGGTGTTAACCCTGGGAAAAATGTCATGGGCAACAAAACATTCTTGGGTTTGCAGCTCACAGGATGAGTTGGTACCAGTTATAGCTCCCTCCTGCCCCAATATTGTTTAATGTAATGGAAGCCAAAGGAACCTACCAACTCAGTGTGCTTTTTCAACACATTAACTCAGCCAGTAGAATTAATTTCAAGTTCATTTCTGCATGGATCATTTACAGTGCTAATTTGTGAGTTTGCACGGTGACTGCTGTTTTTTTCTTTCTTGCATCAAAGTTCTTGGTCACAAAGTGAGCTAATTAATTGTTACTATACCTCTCTTTTTCTTTTCCTAAAGCAATGGCTGTTTTTTTGTCATCACTTGTTGGCCTAGATCAAGTCCTTCTCTATGATTTTTTTTAAAGACCTCTGTGCGCACAGCTGCTTTGGCAAGTCAGAAATCAAGCTGACAGCCCGTTGGAAAGGCGTATCCTGTCACAAGTCTAAAGAGACACAGAGTGACAGTTCTCAGGCTCAAGTGCAAGGCCTGCCTCTCAATCTTCGTCCGCTGGCTAGGATCTCGGCTGATGCAGGCCACCAGTGCCAGACAGCAGAGGGCCTGAAGTAACAAAAACAAGGCCCAGCGAGGTAATTGGGACTGACAGAATGTTTGCCTATCCCACAGGCTTCTCTGCAACAGGCAGCCAAATTGAATATATCTTTTGAAAGTCTGAGCACACACATATTTTTTGCTCTCTCTCTGCTATTTTCATTATTTTTAATTTTTGTTGTAGATTTCTTAACCCACTCTTTCCCTAGATTTGTAATCTGAAGAATGGCATGGAAATCATTTTTCCCCCTTCTGTTGTAACTCATCATGTACCTTCCAGGCAGGAAACAAACGCAGAAATCCAAATTCAATTAGATCTGAAGAGGTGAAAGTACTGCTGGATATCTCTGAGGTTCATTCATAGTCCGTGTTGTCAGCTGCTGTGGTTGGTGTACCTGCAGCTAAATGAGAAGGGCGGACTTCAGATTTTGGTTCAGGTTCTTCAGACTTTGGAGTTAACTGGGGACATATAATCTACTCAAATATAAAGATCTTAAAAATAAAGGGTAAGAATTATCTTTCAGAGGGAATGGTCTCGGTGAAGACCAATGCTATTTCTACCAGTAGCAGGTGGCAGACCACACAGGATTGACCCTGCTCTGTGGAGGAAGTTTAGAATCTACTGAATTTGCAGAAAGACAGATATATTAGTCCATTTTAGCTGCTGTAACAAAATATCACAGGCTGGCTAACTTATAAACAGCAAAAATTTATTTCTCATGGTTCTGGAGGCTGGTCCAAGATCAAGGCTCTGATGGATTCAGAGTCTGGTGAGAGCCTGCTTCTTTAGATGGTTGTCTTTTTTATGTAACCTCACATGGGGGAAGGGTGAAAGATCTCTCTAGGGTTTCTTTTATAAGGGCACTAATTCCATTCATGAGGGCTCTGCCTAACACCTAATACCATTACCTTGGGGGCTGGGATTTCAACATATGAATTTTGGAGTGATGTAAACATTCAGTCCATTACAACAGATTTTCTGGATCACCCAGGTTTTGTTTTGTTTTTGCAAGTGGAGGCTCATTTTTACCCATCAAAATATATGATGAGTCAGAATCTGCGACCAGATCTTAAATGGTCAGGAATATGAAGCCCAGGGAGCATTGGAATCTGATTTTTTAAAAAGGAGAGGCATCTATAGTAGTGGAAATCACAGTTTCCTAATTCTGTTGAGGACAAAATTTATGTTAACGTTATTATTTTAAAAAGAAGGTATGTACCAAAACATGGCTGCTGAACTGTAGGATTTCGGTAAGGGAAGTTTTGGGGAATCCACTTGGCAATTAGATGTCTATGCTGAAGGTGGCCATATAGACTTTTTTTTCCTTAATCTGGAACTCTTGTAGCAGTTTAGTCAATGGCCATTTTCTTTACTTCTTCCTTGCCATAGTAAGTTGATTTGTTTTAACAGCCAGTTGCCCATGACCACCAGGAGAGACTGTCCAATCCATAGAGCATGAATCTTGCTAAGTCTAATTCTGTCATGATAAGTCTGTTCACCTTGACTTAGGAATGCGTGATATAATTCTGACCAATGAGGATACTTCAGTTGATTGGACTTGGGAGAAAGATTTTTTGATCTTTAGAATAGATGCAGGAGAAAGTTCAGCTACTCATTATCTCTAGTTGAAGCTGCGTGAGGAGGTGACGCTGGATCTTCTGAATCTATCCTGTAATTATGAGAGGAGGTAGCCAGAGGACCAGGCAGCATGTTGAAGATGGCAGAGGGCACAAACAGAAAGCTGATACCTTGGGGATGTCACTG